AATGTTCAGAACAAAACTTAAATGCTACAAGACAAGTGTTTTGTATTTAATATTTACTATATTAGCGAATAAAACACTAAAAATATCACTGACTTAACTACAAAGGCATAGTCTACTGGACGATGCGTGGTAAAATTGCCTATACCGGAAATAGGTAAGCACACAACGTTACGTGTATTTCACTGGTTAGTCACACAATTAAGGTACACCGTGTTTCAGAAACCGGGAGTGAGAGAAAGAGGGTAGGGGAAACTGTCAGCACTAGTTGCGTCGTAGACGAGGGCTTTGTAATCTAGAGTTAATAATACAATATTAAATAATTAAACAATTAGTAAGTCGTAAGCTGTTGGGTCGTAAGGCATCCGCGCCCGTCGTGTGGTCGACCAGAAAACTGCGCATCGACCGCGTTGCGCGGGCGCGTGCGGGCGAGAAAAAGCGAACTTCACACGCGAACGACGTCATTACACCTCAGTCTTGGCCGCGTCCGGAGCGCCGGAAGCAGCTTATCGATAGTCGTTGATTGCGGCGAACAAGGCCGTCGAACGATATCGGCGAACGCGTTGCACGTGGGGTTGGCGGTGGGACGGCGCGGGTTTGTGGTGGTGGTGGGGGGGGGGTGAGGGCGAGAGCAGAGTGGGGGGAGGACGGTTGAAGCAGGTGATGTGGTGGGGAAGGAAATGGTCAGGAACGTGGTAGTCGTGTAGAGGGCACGGTCGAGGAAAAAAACAGGAAGGCGGTGGCACGGTGTGTCTTGGGAAAGAATACGTTCAGAATGGGGAATTGAACGGAGAAAGGATTGCTCTAGCTTGTGGCAAAGGGACGGGAAAAAAGACGGTTAATTGATTGGTTGATTAGTGTACAGTGATGGAATTTTTCTCAGGAGGTGGCGGTGATATTTCCGGCTGGGTGGCGAAATCCTGCGCCGACCTACAGGTTGGCTTACGGAGCTTTCCCCAACAAAGTATCTTCTCCAGCGGGGCCCCACCCCAGCCGGAACAAGCACTGAGCTCCTGACCGGTCTCCCGACGTGTGGTAGTGCATGTGTGTGTAATAATAAGGGGTGATGGAAGGACACGGAAGAGGAAAGAAAGAGCGCTAGGTTCGTGGCCCTTTTGTTAGGGTACTGCTCCGGTATTCATCCGATAGCTATAATTCAGGGACTTGCTATCTCTACATGGCGCCCTTCTTGATATTCGCCCCAAGCTTTTTTTATTCCCATTTTCTCGTTATATTCTTCGCCTCTGAACTACACCTGATCGCTACAACATCCCCCGATCCGAACATTTCCTTCCCCAACATTGCCCTGCCTTGGCCGTAAACCCCCTTCTGCCTACCTTCGTAACACAGCCGGCTCTCTCCGTCTTAAACGGCTCAGGGCGTCAATTGATGTCTATGCAGTGCCTTTGATCAGGAGGTCTTAGGGTTCGAATATTGTTTATGCAATTATCTTCCACTTTATACACTAGTCTCGTTAATTACTACTGTTCTTCTTAAATTCTTCTTTCATAGAGGTCTTCCTTTTAGTTTAGTGACTGAATCTTCCTTTCTCCAGTTATTCGACTCCTTTTTGTACACTCAGCTCATCGTATGTCAGACATCTCTGCAACAATATTTAGCTAATTTCCTCACAACTCTCTTTCCACTCATTAGTCAAAAGACATAAACTATCAAAAGGATACAAAATAAATCTTGCTAATAACAATACAACTCTAAATTATCAAATATGAACTAATCTAACGCAAAATGGATAATATATGATATGGGGTCTCCAAATAAGATTATCAGTTGCTGTTAGTTTGCGATATTTAGTGGCTTAAAATATTAATTCAGTGTAGAAATGAACGCTATTATGTTAATAGGCATACATAGGCCCTGTCCCACAATTGTCGCGTTACCTCTAATATGTATGTTCTTAGTTTCATTGTAAAGGGTTGCACGCTTGGGTTAACAATTTAGAAATTGAATCAATTCCATGAAATATCTCAAATTCCTACATAATGCCAAGCACAGTAATTCGATATAAAGTGTTTCAGTAAAACATGTCTAGTTAGCATTATGGTTTGTAAAGATATATAAATGTTGAAGGATTGAAGCTAGTACTAAAACAAACGAATAATTTTTTAATATTTTTTTAATTTAAATACGAAAATTGTAGCATGAAAAACACAATGTAGCGATTGATTTCTTACTTCTAAATATGTAACGCTGTTTTATGAAAGTTTGCACACTAAACTTTCATTATGGTGAAATATGTTCTTCTCTTCTATTCAGCGAAAGCCAAATAAATACCTTCCTTCTTTAAAACATATAAAGAAATGTCTCTTTAATCATTGCCCTTAAAGTAAGCAAAATTTTTTTACGATTAAGTTGTGTTAACTTTTTTTCATTACTGACTTAATAACTTTAAAAAGAAAAATTTCCTCCAAAAAATTTCATTACAATTGTAACAATTTGCATCTCACTGCAAATCACAATGACTATTTGGATGATAATACATTTTCTGATGATTTACTACATTTTATTGCTTTTACTTAATTTTGAGAATCTTTCCACCATTGCAACACAAAATAATGAAATGCCGCTTTGAATAAATTGGCGCATCCTTTTGGAAAATGTCAATTTTTTATGGCTAGCAACTACAGTCTGGTCAAAGCATTCATGTGATTGTAACAGCCAAGCGAAAGGAAGGTGAACAGCAGAGTGGCCAATGGGAAGAACGCATTACCACAGCCATGTAATAAATGTGCGCCACTCCTCATTCCAGGCGGCAACTCGTGAGCTATTCCGAGCGCCACGGTCCATTAAGCGTATTACTTGTCTTTTGATGTGAACTGTTGACAATCGGGCTGCTGCTGGAACACTAGAATTGCTACAGGCAAACTGTTGACCCTCACAAATGCACTTGCATTCAGAGAGGGTTGAAACGCGCTCGTGAACGCCAAAGGTGACATTCAACGCGCAAAAAATGAAAATGCACCATTACAAACATGTACGCAGGAACTAATAATGAGAATTGGTGCTTAGTCGAAATTATTGCGTCACGAATCTGCGGTGCGAAAAAATTAATGTAGTGGTACTTTCAAGAGCAGAACAACCAAGAAATGATCTCGTGGCTCAGCGAAGTCGCTTGCCTATTCATCACTGAGGGTCCGGGTTCGATTCCCATAGAATTCCCCCCTAGAACCTCATGTGAAATTTGTTACGACAAAATGAGTCCATGCTTCCCAGGGGCTAGGCCAACCCCTGTGAAGTGTCCTAAACCCTGTCCCTATCCTTATTTTTTACCAATTCAGGCTGTTGGATAGTGATGCAGGAGCGCGTTGTAGGATGCGCGTACGCAGAGATGCTACTTGGCGGTCCTCTTGACAACTGACTACGACAAGACGTGACATTAAATGTTAGATAATGTTAACTTCTCTAAATAGCGCGATTGTTAATTACAACACATTTTTTAAAAATTAATGAAACCCCTTATTTTTAAGTCTTGTGTAACGGTCAGACTAAGGATACTGTTAAATACTTGATGTTTATTTCTATGAAAAAGGTCATCACAAAATATTAAAGTAATGATACTTAATTGTTATAACGTAGTTTGCTACGGGTAACTTGCTTTGTATAGAATTGACATGTGTACAATGCAATTCCCTATCACTTGAAAGTTTGTTCATGTACTTAGAAAAGAATAATATATTTGTATAAACACAAACACATTAAAGAGGGAGAGATAGAGAGAGAGAGAGAGAGAGAGAGAGAGAGAGAGAGAGGTGAGAGAGAAACAGATAGATAGATAAATAGATAGATACATAGATAGATGGATATAGATATAGATAGATAGATAGATAGATAGATAGATAGATAGATAGATAGATAGATAGATAGATAGATAGATTCTCGGAGAATTTCTTATTGCCGTAAAATACATTTACATAATTTTCTACGAAACGAAACAAGTGTTTTTTTAAATAAGCCAATTATATTAAGACGGTTCACGTGTTTATCAAAATTCTTAAATGATACTTCAAAATTTTGTAAATATAGAATATCTGCAAGACTTTCGATAACTAACTACATATTGGGACCAATATTGATTTCTACTTCGTGTACATAGTTTTATTTGATTATGTACCATACTGTTGATGACATTAATAAAATAATTAACACAACTTTTGGTAATAATATTAATATTAATAATAATAATAATAATAATAAAGAATAATAGAACTACGTCATGCATCCAGTTTCAGAATATATGTTTCAGGAGTCTTATTAAAACCCTGAAGTTTATTCAAATGAAGACATTTCTTTTAATTACAAAATATTGATTAAAGAAACGCATGAAAAAATGGGCGACATTTCAACACTTACATGTTTTATGCATGACATATTCGGAACTGCTGTCATGAAAACGTGCTTATTTTCGGAACGAATGTATTCTCTTTTGAACTTGATCTGGTGAGGAAATATTTGTGATTTTGGCATATTTTAATTAAACACTCATTTTGATATAAAAATTAAGCTCGCTTCAAACCTCTGCTCTGTTTAAATCAGATTTTCCAAAATTGTGGTAGAGTAAAATAATGTCGAGAATGAAAGTATCATTTATTATTTTAACATTTAGGCTATTCTAAACGTGTGATACTGTGATGCGTATCATGATAATACATTACATTATGATACAAGAGTTACGATGTATTGGTAGATAAAAGCAATTTCTTGTTATGTAGGAATACGTGGAATGACAGAGAGACGAATTTCTCTGCAAGATGTTTGAATGAAAATGAATGACCGTTTATCTACACTATTTTTATATTCGACTTCCGCGACCAATCGAAGTGTCTCATATGTAGAATTATTGATAAAGCGAGATAGATTTTTCCATCATTCTGGAAATTTCTTATTTTAGTGCAAAGGAAAAATTCAGGCGATACTTTTAGGTTTCTCAGTGTGTTTGGGTGACGATTTAAATATGAAAATTAAAAAAGTTTATACTCTCTCTTCAGATGACAATATAAGACAAAAATGGAAAATTGAGAAAGTAGCTACTGCTTTAACCTATTTGACTGGCAACATTATCAAGCCCTGGCAAAGAGAAGTCGAAATTAAAACGGGTTTAAACATAAATGTTGGTTTTTGAGACGTTGGAATGAATATGGGCATTCTATCGTTTTGGGACCACTTATTACTCCCTCCCTCTTCCTCTCTCTCTCTCCCTCTCTCCCCCTCTCTCTCCCTCTATCTCCCTATCTATCTCTCTATCTCTCTAAATAGCAATTACATAGAATTTACAGCATTGGAGAGTACTTAACAGAGACGAATCCCCATTCACTGATGGACGGAGCACCACAACCCCGTTTTGCAACCAGGGTTGTTCAACCGTTCTCGAATCTGTGGAAAAAGCCTATTTGAAAATTCCACACAGAACAGCTATTGCTTTGAAGAAGGCTGCCGATTGCAGCGCGACCGACTCACTCACGCCTTGCATCCGTCTACCTCTCCAGGTGCTCGCGCTCCCACGCCACGCCCCCCGGGAGGCCTCCGCCACTACAACCCGCCCCCGTTCCGTTCCTTCCACAAACTGCGACCCCCAACATGCCCCTCCGCCATGCCCCACGCCATGCCCCGCTCCCAAGAAGCCCCCTCTCCCCCATTGCCTCGCCCCCACTAAGCCCCCCACCCCTCATCGCCGCGCTTCCATCAAACCCCTCCCCTCATCGCCACGACCCCAACCAAGCACCCCACTCCCATTGCCAAGCTTTCACCAGGCCCAACTCCCCATTGGCACTCCCCCCAAAAACTCCCTTCCCTCATCACCTTGCCCCCACCCATACCTCCCGCCATGTTTCCACCGCCGCGCTCCACCACGTCATATTCCTCCTCACTACTCCACTGCCAGGCCCACCTCCTCCGCACTCCACAACGCTCATACGTACGTCCTCCCACGCTCGGCCACGCCCCTCTCTGACTCTGCGGAACGCTTTCTAGAACTCCGCCTCCCTGACCCGCCTTTCCTAGCCCCGCTATCACCCGTTTATAACCGACTTCCCATCCCTACTCAGTCTCTTTCTCACACCATTTGCTCAGCCCGTCTCTGCACATCCTCACTCAAACTTGTCGAACTTTACCTAACTCCTCCGAACCTCATCTAGCCTTTCAGCCCTGCCAGCCTAGACAAGCGCAACCAATCCCCATCAAACCAAGCTCCATCTCCTCCCCGACCCTTCTAGCCTCGCGTATCCTAACTCAGTACTGCTCAGCCTTTCAGACCTGCCAGCCTCGTTCAGCTCCACCGATCAATCCACACAAACCCCGCTTCAAACACTTCGACGCCCCCCCCCCTCTGCCTATTCCCGCAATTTCACGTGCAGCTCCTTGCCCCTTGGAGCACCCCAGTCACATCCCTTTCCATACCTGCATCTACGCCACAGCCCCCCTTCGTTTAATCTGCACCTCAACCACGCCATTCCCCGTTTCCACCTCACTTCCGCGTATCCCTCCCTCCCCACCACTCGCCTCTCCTTTGCGCGCGACATCTGCGCAGGCAAACCCCCCTCCCACCCTCCATCACCGAACCGCGGCCCCGCCCCGCCGCGCGTTACAAATCTCAGGCTGTTTCCTGGCCGCTTGCGAGAGAGCAAGTTTTTGCCAACTTTACACTCCGTCGACGCTGTTTCCATTTCTTCCCTTCGGTGCTCGCGCGTTTCCTCGGCGTTTGGCGTCTGACGCGCTCGGGGCTGCTCGCGCGTGCCCCGCTAGAGGTGCCGCTAGAGGCGCCACGAGGTCGCGCTGCTGCTCCTTCGTCAAAGGTTCTCTCGCACCTTTCGAGAGGAGGAAGATGTCCACCCGATGGATTCATAGTGGCTGCGAGCGCGTCAACTACTAGGGTCATTAGTCACATAGATGTTGGACATGTTTTTGTTGGGAAAGTGGAGGTGGTCTTCCCTCATGTATGGCGAAATTCGGCGCCGACATCTGCCGGTCTTCCGGCATGTGTGGTAGGGTGGTACGTGTTAGTGTACGGGGGTGAGGATAGCACAACGAAGGGGTAGGAGAGATCGCGCGCATTCCATGATCCGATTTTTTAGAGTACTCCTCCGGCATTCGCCTGGTTTTGGTAAGAGAAACCACGGAAAACTACCGATCAGAGCAGTCGGCCGCTAGCATTAGGCCTAGCTCACAAGCTAGAGTCGTCCTGCCACAGCTGGGACGCGAACAGAGGACCTCCCGATCTAACAGGCTGCAGTGACATCAGTTGATGCCTTGACCAAGTTCTTCCGGTCTACCCAATCGAATCTAGCACGTATTTCTGCAGAACATCTTCAATTTTAGTTCTTGGTGTTTGCAAAGTTAGACGGCTTTCTCCTGCGGCGTTAAGTCTGGAACTGCACACTTAATTTTGCTACATAAACTGCACATTGGAGTGTCGTGGATTCCAAAGACTTTCATATTTACAAAAGATTAAGAAAAGGTACGAGTCAAAAGTGTTTTACTGTATTTTATTTTCATTTAAAGATGCACGGAAACGAGCCCAAAAATGGAATTTAAAAAAATAAAATTTATTGTACTTTGTAACGTATAATCTCTTTCTACATATTTTAACAGGACGTCTACAATTACACGTTGATATCACGTCAAACAACAATGCAGAAAAAATTAAAATGTTTTAAATTGTCATTGTCAACTTGGATAAGCATTAGAGGAAGAATGCTATTTATATTTTATTATTTTGTGTGCAGAACAATCAGAAACTACACACTGGTTATAATACACACTAATATACAACTCACAATATACACAAAAATAAACTTCACACTATTATTAGTATTTACCAAAGAAAGAAAGGGACCCATGTAATTTCTTTTTATGTCATAAGAAAGTAGAAGGCTGAATTTTGAAACAGTAAGTCAGAGAAGGCAATGTCTAAGAGTACTGAGCATGCGTATTTCAATTTCCGAGTGAAATCCGCATGCGCAAGTATATCCACATTTGGACTGCCCAGCTTCCGCAAAAATCCGAATCGCGGGGCTTCATATCCCACAATCTCTCTCTGGCAGCGCTGTACGCGGGGGGCAGTGCTGTACCTCCAACGCCGCGCTGGCGCGAGCTGGCGCGTGGATCGGGTGGCGCCGGCGCCGCTAACAGACCGACGCTCCAGAGGAGCTCTGGTGCGCGTCTTCATTCTCGGAAGCGCTTGTTTGCGTACGCGCGTAAGCATTACGCCAAAGCGCTTCTCAAATATGATAATATTCTGTTTGGGAAAGCTACGTTCTATGCATGCACCCTTAGTTAATTTTCAGTTAAGACGCGCCAAAATGCTCGCATCAATACTGCCTTGAAGTCGATGATTACCCCAGTTGTTTGTATCAGCTATTTAAAATGAAAGTGCATAAGTAATGTATGTTTTTATCGAAACATATTTTTCTCTATACATTACTTTATTGTATACATTATTCTATATTTTCTATATACATTACTTTATTGCACACATTGTATTTTAGTGCTCCACGGATTCCGTGATAATCTGATGCGCATGTTTCTATTCTTGGAACTGGCTGCTGGCAAATGCACGCGAGAGTTAAGCTAAAGCGCAACTCAAACATGATAACAATATTCTAGTGCAAGGGGAGTTCATCTTTTTATGTTTGCATCATTGGTTACTTCTCACTTACAGGCACTAACATTGTTTTAATATTTAGATGTGAAAATGAAATTTATAGCTTCATCTGGTTAGCTAGTCATGCTATAGCTTAATCAAGTTAGTTCACTTAATTGTATTTATCGAATTTTTATTGTTTGCCTGGAATCTTTTTGTCATAACTGAATATTCACCACTGGAAGTGATTTCCGCAAAGTAGTCACCCCTTCTTGTAACATCGTTGGAAATATAAAACACAGTTTTTGAAAAAAAATATTTCTCGGGTAAATGTTCTCAATTTTTATTACGTTCTTTTAAAAACAGGATTGTACAGTACATTGTATACATTGTTGGTTTCTTTTACGCTTTTCAATTTGTACTTTTTAAATGTTTTAGTTCATACTTCTCACAATGAAAGTCCTTGCAACGATAATTCATGCAACAGTGATATGCAACGATAACAGTGACATTAGATGTTGAACAGATATTTAGTCATGTGAACAATCTGATTACCTTAATTACTATATTAAGTATTTAAATTCTTATGTCTTAAGTTAGTATGCCGTCTTTAAAATGATATTCAAGGCAATACATTTCTCACCAAACGTACACAGAAAACAATATCAATACAAATTATTTAGTTCAAAAAACAGATCTGTGATAGTTATTTCAAGTATTTCCTGAAACGTCTCGTCATACAAAAGTAGCACATTTTTGTCATTTAAAGCTCATTTCATTGTTCTAAATTCTTGAAAATAATATAGAACAATCGTGTTTTCTTATAGTTTTATTCCAGCTGATTTAGAATGCTGAAAATTAAGGTGCTTTGATATAATTAAGTAATTCATTTATTTCAATCCTCACTGAAATGAAATAGTTAAAAGAAGCTAATCCTTCATCACAAATTCGACATTCTAAACTGCTTTTCCTCGTGACTGCCGTATCGCGGCGTTGCCAATATATTGGGGAATGATGTCTCCAGAAATACTCGCAGAAGAAAGTGGAAGAACCGCTGGAAGTTCGAATCTGAAATAATGCGAAACTACTCGGACTTTCAAAAAAATGTTCATGACTTAATTTCAAGCACATAAGTAAGTAATCTCAGTCATCAATTTGGAGTTTTGCTATGCTATTATTTTTTTGTTGCCATTTTCGAAAATAGATTTCACCGATCTTGAGACTTGCTAAGTTTTTACAAACGTTTCTAATTCTAATAGATAAAAGAACAAAGTTTGAACCGTTTTTGAGAAAATAATTTCTTTTAATTGTCCATATTTCAGGTAAAATTACTCGAATTCTACTCACATTTTCGAAAAACTATGTATGCACTTTTACAAAGGGATTTCAAGAATATACACCTTTACAAAAAACTTAAACTTCAATATTGTAGTTATAGAAGGACGTCGAAGATATATTGAATTTTTGAAATTTTTAAAATCTCAGGGAGTTTAAGAAAAGTACGACATGCATTTGTAAGCGGATTTTGCTATATCTGGAGAAAACATGTAATAAATTTAATTTTAGGAATTTTAGAATGAAGCCAAAAAATTAAAATTGAATAAGAAAACGATGAGAGATGTCTAGAGCACATGTAATATGATAAAACCACGAGGAAATCTGAGAATAACAAAAAACTTGTATTCGTTTCATTTGAATAAATAACAATATGATAACATTAGAGCTAATTCAAAAAATAAAATAATTTAAGAGCTTTTAGAACTATAATAGCACTTCTGATAATACTTTTAAAATATGTCTGCTGAACTTTTGACCTTTCTCATATTCGCTTAATTGGGTAATATTAATATTTAGGAATTAAGAAAATTAAATTCCCTTCTGGAGCTCTTTTCCAGCGGAGGGGGATACTTTCTATCGCCTTTTGAAAAGGTATCGTCTCTCTCCAGGCTTCTAGAAGCTTTTTTTTTTCGAAAGATAAAGTATCATGCTATTTATTACATTTATGTATCTGCATATTGTTGCGACAGTATATTATGTTCATTTTAACCTGTAATATGTCAGTACGATTGTTCTTACATGTATGGTATTACGGATGTTATTAGATCTATTGTTGTCACGAAACCTTTTTGTTTTGAAATGTAACTTTATCACTTCGTCTTCTTCTTCTTCTTCTTCTCCTTCTTCTTCTTTAGAGTATCGTATTTATTTTAAATATTTTGAAAACAATGAATGATAGTAGTATGACAAAATGACGGGAGATCTTTTACAAAAATTCAAATTTAAAGATAAACAATTTCAATTTAGCGATAACTATTAGTTTATTGTCTTAAATATCAGATCTTTGAAAGGTATTTTTGTTTCCTTAAAAAAATTTGTACTACTAGTCACTATTATTCACAACTGATGTGGAGCTTCACTGAAAGGGAAATCAATTAAAAATTATTTTAAAAGTGCATAAAATATTGTAACTTCTACACGGAGGTAAAAGTTGAATGCTCGTGTCCTAGAAATTATTAAAATGTTTTGTATTGGTTATGAATTTTGTAATTAATTTTTATGGAATTTAATTTACTTTCAACTACTATGTATGAAACTTTTTATAAGAAAAGTAATCTAAGTAGTTTTAAATTAAATAAAAAGATATTTAAAAATATAACTCTGAAGATTTTCGTTATTAATGAATTTAATTGGTCTTGCAATTAATATGTTAAAATCCTTGTGTGCGAATATAAATCTCGATATGGAATGGTAATTACATAAAATTGAATTCCCATTCATAACAAACAAATACAATACTCTGTGATTGTGGCATGTGGAATGTTTTAATGAATCGATGGAAGCTAATCACATTCGTGTGCATTTCCAGCAAGACCTATAAAGCATTATTTCATTCTATATAATGAAGCAAACACATGGCAACGCCTAGAAATAATATTTTTTAAACAAACATGGAGTAATTTTATATTGTTTTTGATGTCGACTAATGTATTTATGGTTTTAAAATGGCTTTGTTTAAAACGTTTATATCATTAGACTGACCATACGCATGAAAATATCGGAGTTTTTTTGAATGTAAATCGTAAAAAATGCATATGTTTACTAGTATTTATGTGTTGAAAAAGATAAACGAATAAAAAGAATCTTCCAAATTCTGAAAATTAATATATTTCCTTAGTATTGCATAAACATTTTTATTCGTGTTACATAAATTCACACTTTTATTTAGTACCACTCCTTTTATCAATGAAATATCAACATAGTCTTTCGAAATACGGTAAATAATAATTTAGGTTCCAGAAAATAGTCACGTGAACGTTCAGAGCATATTGACATCATTCATTCAAGAGCTTCAATTGGTTATTAGAATTTAAGAATTTTTATTCAAGGTTAGAACCAAAATTCAGAAAATTCATAACATTAACAATCTGAATAATTATCAATTTCTCTTTCGTTTTGTAGTTACTGAGCTTCTGTGCAGCCAAATTCTAACTAGGTTGATAATTTTATGGGATTGGTCGTTTCACTTCCATAAATTCTCCTCGAACGACTTTTTAAGATTAAGTAGATCTGAAACCAAATTTACTTAGACTGCATTTTTGGATGCGGGGTTACTTTCAAAATTAATTTTTTTATGAATTTTTAAATCTGAAATATACACAAAAGGTAAACATGTTGCTAAACACTGCAGAGAAGAGCTCTGAACTAAGCAGATAATACTATCGTGTTTTATACATCACTTCATAGTATTTAAACTGAACATTTTGTAGTTGCATGCACTTACGAAAGAATTGTTACCACTTTCACGGAGAGTAGAGCATTGCATATTTTATCACCGTAGGAAATACCGCAGTTATTACCTTTCTTAAATTATTACGGTAACTTATTTCTGGAATGTTTGCAGTAAACAAGTTCTGACATTTCTTGTTCAATAACAAGAAGAAGGTAGATTAATGGACAAATAATCATCTTATGTTTGAGTAAAACGCACTTTTTTGTACGTATGTAATATATCAAAGATTGCATGGAAATATCACGTGTTATCTCTTACTCTAATTCTGAAAAAATTCTCAAAATTCTCAAATTGTGATGATTTTAATTTTCTTCAGATTTATCTCTCTCAACATATTTCTCAATAGTGTTGTTTATTTGAGAGTTCGTTTCTTTCTTTACACTCGAAACATCACTTATGACTCTTTATTCTTTCTCTTCATTTTTCAATAATCGTTCTCTATATATTTTCATAAATCACTTCAGTTTTCCATTGATGTGAAGCAATGAGTGATTGTATATTCATCTCATTCCAGACAGATATATAGTGGTTGGTTCTCCGTTTATCCACTTGACTGATCATCCCGTTTTGTGCACGTTATCTTTAATTCTTAAAACATTCAATTCCGTGTGGCAAAGAGCCGAGAAAGAAATTTAAACAAGAAACCTGTTGGGTCGCGACCTTATGAGCAGACGGAGGCTCAACCAGGCTAGCTTCCGCCGCACAGCCCTCCAGATATCGCGTTGTTCCAGAAGCCGGTTCCCTCGGCGCGGTAAAGAAGTCTGACATGTCTCTTTATGTATACATGAGGTCTTCCCAGTCATTTGCATGAATACACTCCGGAA